CTGGGTGCTTGCCTCTGTGATTAGACTTGGTGAGGAACCATAGACATGGGTGCTGCCTGGATGGTGGGGAAGATAAACAATGAACAAGTAAAGGGAAACAAGTGTAACTTCCTGAAATGCTATAGATGCAAATTAATGTTTCTGTTACATTTCTCAAATGTGATAGGTTGTGAATGACCAGGAAGGTTCTCATTGGCATCCATGTTTAAAGTTCCAGCAATTAACCTTTTATAAGGATTTCCAATCAGGGCATTGACTGTTAGGTGGAGATTCTTGGAAAGCATAGTTGCCATCTGATTGCTAAATGTACTTAGAAACATCATCACTTCTTTCATGATCCTTGGGCATAAAAGATGCCATAAGGAATAATGACTTTAACTCATTCTGAAGAAGTACTAAGGAATTGCCCATTGGAAGTTAAAAAACTGTTGTCATTTGATTGAATATGTATTCTTCACATGCTTTTCTGTGAAGTCAATGTTTTTCTAATTAAGCTTAAAAATGTGAAATTTTCTTGCAAAATTGATTTTCCATTAAGGCACTAAAGTAGTTTCTCTCCTCTTCTGCTTGGATGCTAATTAAATTATGTTCCAACTTGTTTTAATTCTGCAATCAATTTTTTTTCCATTTGCACTGGATTACAGAATCTCATTTAAAAATCACTCTTTACCAAATTTTACACAAAGCAGAGGTGACAGACTTATTCTCTAATGGAAACAAAACAACAAAACAGTACTGGTCAAGTCGTGAGAGCTTGCAGCATATCAGGGCAGAATGTTAAAAAAAAAGGCTCAGTTTTTTTCTGGTGCTATCTATTCCTTATGTTGCTTTTAGAGATAACAAACATCAGTGGAAGGCATAGAAATAAAAAGAAATTTTAAAAATAGGAACAAAATGTTAAAAAGGGTTTAAATATTTGATGATCTACCTGATCCTGGGTGCAGAACTGAGACAATTTTAAAAATGGACATAAGTGAAATTTATAAGAGAAAAATAGAGTCATAGCTATTTATTGTAATGTTTGAAATAATTAAGTCAAAATACTAAATGAATAGATTGTTCTAAAAGACTAAAGATTCGTTTCAGGTTTGACTTGTGTGTACCATAAATATTTATTTTTTGAAAGATTAAAAAGAAGAAAAATCTCAAAGATTCAACATAGACTACTTAGGGCTATACATATTGGCAGCCTTTTGCAAATTGAAGGATTGTATATACTGATTACGAAGAATGATTTTGAAGCCATATACTGTGAAAAAAAAATTAAGGAACAACAATTTTATATATAGTCGTCTCTAGAAACTCAGTGGATACATATTTCTGTTTTAAAGAAACAAAAATAAGAGAAAGGCTGACCTGTCTCCAAGGTCAAATTCCACCTTCATCTGTTAGAAGGTAGGGAAGTGGAGGAAGAAAGTGGTGGACCATGTATCATTAAAAAAACCTGGCAAGTGAACGGAAACCAGTGAGGTGGCGTTGATTATGTGAATTGCGGAACATTACCAAGCCAAATGGAGACCTCACCAGTGATGTTTCCACCTGGAGATAGGATCGAATAGTGGAAGCCATGTGCTTTTGTTGTGGCTTTTCCTGGTAAGCTTAACTCTTCCACACGACTTCCTTTTTAGACAGGGGCCTAGTGACTTCCAAATGTGGTTCTTACACTATCAATGTTCCTTCCCATTTCTTTCTAAATTGCTTGTACATTATTTGGTCACTAAAATAGTACAGAATCATTTAACTTACACAATTGCTTCATCATATTATGACTTATAGTTGTCAACTTTCTGGCAAGAAAACCTTACTCCATTTAATGAACATCACAGAGTTGGCTGTCAGCAGGTCTGATTTAACCTGTTTAAATCCAGGTCTCTGGGAGAACAGCTTACTGTGATTAGCAGTACTGTTTCTAGATTCCAAAGCTGTTTCTTGAATTCCTTTTTCTCACTTTCTTTGATATCTTTCATCTCATTATGACATTAAAAATAATGCTTAACACTGCTAGATGAAAGCAAAACTGAAATCATGAACAAAATTGCTCATGTAAAGTGAAAAAACAATTTCTAATTTAAAAATCATAAAACTAAAGTCAATCTAAGACTTCAATTGATTCACACAATTATAATTTTCTGCAATTAATGGACAGTGGCATGAAAAGTTAGAGCACATATTGAGAATATATAATTCTTCAGATACAAAATATAATTGAAATCTTATTTCCTTATTATGAAAAAGTTTCTAACTGGGTCTAGTCATCCAGAGATACTTTGTAAGCTAGACATTTGTCTTATACAGTTTTTCATAACCTATATATCTTGATAAAGAGAAATAGTCATTCAATTGAAAGCCAAAAATTTCTATTCCTGCGTAGAAATCAAAGAGAAAAGTCTCTAGAGTTTTACAACTATAATGGTAAAATTAATATTTCCCATTAATAACTCTTACAGATATTCAGTAAGTGCAATGGTGAGAAAAAGGATGGAGAAGTAGATAAAAATAGAGGGAAAAGGCACAAAAAATGGGGATATGGACACACAAAAAGGGGAAGGAGAACATACACACAAAATTAACCAAGAAAAAGGCTTGAGAGACCTCTCACATAGTGAACATTAACCATATGCCAGACGTTATACTGGGTACTTCACATTCTATTCTATTTCATGGGTAAGTAAGATAAGGGGTAAATTACATTAGGCCAGTTTCTAGATTAAAAAACTGAATGAGGAGTGTACCTAACCCCGGAGATTCCAGAGTGAAACCTATCCGGTTGGTGCTAAGTTTCAAACTCTGCTTGTACTCAAAGATTTCTGAAAGAGGAAACTTGCTCAATGGGCTACATTTCCTTAACTCAGAAAAATATTTCACAATTTTTCAGAAACCCACTGGGTGTGATCTTGGATGCCATTATCACATGATAATTATCAAGGTGAAAGTAACAAGTGTGAGCCATGCACCCTGAACAGGTGGGCATTGTGAAGTACCAGTGGTTCATGTTTTGATACTCAACCAACAAGCCAACCAAATACCAGCCAATTAATAAAAACCGATGAGCTAATAAACATTTGCTATGGCCCTACTTTATCACCCAAAGAATTTATGCAAAGTCAAACACCTCAATAAAAAACTCAGCAAAACATGGCACTACTTTGTTAAATAATTATAAGCATTGTAATTGAATGATTGAATTTTTTTTATAGATGTCCATAAGATTACTATTAGTTCACTTAAGGGAAGAACTATCCATGAAATCATGTAATTTTAAAACTCAGTATTTTTCTTAGTTATTCTTGAATATCCACAGTAGAAATAAATCTGTCTCAAGATCTAAGAAAGGTTAGTCAACATTCTTAGATCTTGAGACAGTATATATATATATATATACACACATATATATATGTATACACACATATATATACATATATATGTATACACATATATATGTGTATATAGGTATATATACATATATATGTGTATATAGGTATATATACATATATATGTGTATATAGGTATATATACATATATATGTATATATATACACACATATATACATGTGTGTGTATATATACATATATGTGTGTATATATACATATATATGTGTATGTATGTGTATCTATATACATATATATGTATATAGGTGTGTGTGTTTATACATACACATACGTGTGTATATATATACACATTGTATATATGTGTGTGTGTATATATATGTATATGTATATATATATACACACATACACACACATACTGAGACAGTATATATATATACACACACACACACACACACACATAAAATGTATACATGTATATTACACACAAAAATATTTAAGGTCTGGTTCTTTTTAGAAAGTAGTATATATACTTATTTCCAAAAAGAAAACAGAGCTTAAGTATTTTAGACTCCTTTTGTAAAATCAAATAGAAAATAGCAATTTTAGAATGAAAAGTTTAATTTTAGCATGGGAATTGATAAGCCTGTTCTGAAACCCCATTTCATCCTATAGGGGGTATGAAGTTCATAGCTTCAGATTGGTCACAGAAAACCTTAGGCTGAGAGGATTCCCAGGTGATGGGCTTGGTTGAGTTTCTCTGAAGGCGATCTCTGTGATCTTCCTGGCTACCCCAAGAGGACAGGGAATCCTAGGGATCTGGAGATCCTAAATGACTGAGCTGTCGGCAGTCCCTTGGGTAATTATAGCTACATGTCAGGAACTATAAAGTGACTGGGAAAAAAGCTGTTTTAAGGATTGGAGAGCTGAAGGTTTTTTGCTTTTCTGGTATTGGTCTACTGAAATGTTTGCAGAGAAAAATGCTGGTGCCAGGTAGGCATTGCATAATCAGATATGATCGATTATTATGAAGCTTAAGTGCACAAAAATATTGGACTTCCCTTTTTAAGTCATGGAAAAATACTAGCCTAAACTATTAAAACTGGGAATAAACAATATGAGGAGTAGCATAAAAATGTGAGTCATTTAAAAAAGTGGATTTAATATCAGGCTTTGTGAATTATATTTGATGTTTCACCAATTACACTCTCATATCTTCAGGAGAAACAATGAACAGTCTGTGATATGCAGAAACAATAAGAGAAAAGGTACCATTTTATTTTTGTGTAATAACCTATGTAGAAAACACAAAATGATTGTGAACAATATGAGGAATAAAATGATTTTTCATTGTCCTTTTAAAGGAGTAGTTGGTGTGCATGGCATTTTGTAAGCTTTCATAAAGAGTTTCTGTGTGCCTGTGTGTTTGCGTGTGTCCAGGGTTGCTGTTTATAGATCCAGTACACAGATTTCTCACTCTCCTTTCAAATAACAGTCAGAAGACCTGTACACTTTTTAATGAGGTGGTACAATGCCCTTGGTCCTATTTTACCAGCTATCACCAGCTAGAGGCCCACGTTGCCCTTTGTAAAGAGTATCTCTCAATAAGTTATTATATGAGCAGCAACTGGCGAGTACAGCTTGTGATGTTAGAAATGCTAACAATTGCCTTACCTCTTCCTTCTCAGCACTTTGCAGATCACGCCATTCCTCAGTTACATGGCCAAAATCCACTGTGTTCATGGGGACTTTAAATTCTCCAATGATGTCATGCTTGGAGAAGCGATCAAAATCATACACAGCCATCACCAGGGTTTTGCCACCCAATTCCGAGTATGGCACCTTAATAAAAAGAGATGGGGATAAAATATCCAGTCATAAAAATGCTTAAAACATGTTACTTGTTCACGGTGCTTAATTTAATATTTATGTTGCATAAACAGAACAGGGAGATAATTTTGGTTTTGGTTATTTTTTAAATTGAGACTTTTGACAAACTGCTAAGGCTAAAATTACTTGAGAGAAAATGGGAATTTATAGTGATTTATTGCTTTATTTCAAAGTTCTAGAAGCTGTTAGCATTATTAATAATGGATCCTGGTATTAGTCATGCTATAAATACTTTAATAAAAGAATAAACAAGACAATTGCATTTGACTATAAATAAGTTTTTCTTATAGAATATTTTGTTGTTGTTGTTATAAGTTATGTTGTCTGGGTGTAACTTACTGAGGGGCAAATAACTTTTTTCAAATGTTCCATTAACTCTTTCAAGGCATATAAATGCCACAGTTCAATGGAGCAATGATTTATTAAACGCTATGCTAGGAGTCTGAAAGGATTGAAATGATATTCGCAAGTGCCTCACCTACTCCTTAAAATAATTTGCTGATTGACAAGAACTGACTAGGAAATTGATGCTCTGAATATCAGAGATGCATTATAATATGGGTTTTGAAGTTCATTCTTGGGTATGACATGCTTTAGGATGAGTGGTGGCAAAAGGCCAAGAACTGATGAATTCTCCAGCTGTTCAAATATATCTGGGACAGATGCTATGGGTTGGGATGTTTATTAGTGACATTTTTAATATTCAGTGAAAGCAGTGCAATCCAAGCAAGCTACACTTCAGTAACTGAGTAGAAATACCTAATTAAGAAATTGTTTAGACTTGTCTTAAAGGTTTGATCAATTTTCATATACTTCCTATTATTTTATCAGTGTAAATGGTTGTCTTATGCTTCAGCAAACATTTCTCAATTAACTCTGTATATTAAGGAGGGAAGGAAAGGAAGAATATTGGACCATCTACATACAAGAAATTTTAGTTTTCCAAAGACTTTTTCTTTTCAGTCATTTATCATCTATTTGGAATCTGATTATTTTATTAAAATGCTATGATTAAAAAGTAAGCATCACACTTTTTCCATTTTAGAAGGAATGGAAAATAAACCTTTCCAAAGAGCTGACTCTCAAAGAAAGAAACAAAATATTTTAGAGTAGGGATAAACCCTTGAAAAATTTATTGTTTATCTAAAATCTCTCTAGACTTTTTGATGATTGTACTAAAAGAGCAAAAGTCAAAAACCTGGGCTTGGGGTCAGACAGACCTTGTACCAGATTTCTGGACTTTCCAACTAAAGGGCCTGGGGCAGGTGATTAAACATCAGTTTATTTATCTAGTAAACTGTGATAATACTGTAGTAGTGGCTGCTTCATGGGGCTGTTTTGAGGATAAATGAATATACGTAAAACACCTAGCACAGAGGACGCACTTAAGAAATATGTATTGTTTGAATGATTAATAGCTCCTTCAGATAACAGTTTGTTTTGGGGAAAAGGAGATGAATTTAGTTTGGGGCATCTTGAGTTCCTGTTAAGTGACTGAAATCCATTGTAAAGCCATCCCTCTTTAAAGTCTCTCATGCTTCCATTCCTATATCATATTGCCTCTTGGCATTTCAAGATGAGTAATCTACAATGTCTAACCAGTTCTCTAGAAAAATCGAAGTATTTTAAAATATAGCAGAATATATCATACTTTGGATTTATGCACACATAGTTCTATCAACCTTTCTGAAATAAAATGGGACTTGATAAAATTTATAGAGAATTCAAACATTTCAATAATTATACTTGATACTATAAAATTGAAATAACATTATTAGCAACTTTTAAAGAAATAATATACAGGTAATGCAATACAAAACAAAGAGCCAATACATTAGCTCATATAATTTAAGAATTTCCTTACTAAATTTTGGTCAGAAACTGCTGATGAATAAAACAACTGTGATTACTATTACAATATTTTTAAAATTTTATTTCCATTTCATGTTTTGTAGTATGTTGACTATAGTGATTAAGGTCTTTGCGAGCTGAGTATTTCCAGAATGTTTTTACTGCTACTTTAAATTCACTGTCTAGGTACAGAAAAAGCAGATTTTAAATAAGATTACTAACAATACATCAGGGACTTTTGTCTTGAAAACTCAGAATTTTTAGAGTGAATAGAAAGACACTTCTCCTTTACATAATTGAAAACAAGGTTTGAGAAAATGACTCATGCCCTCATTTTCAATTTATTTTGCCCCAGAATGTTTGCCAACACAAGGCACATGCTAAGCCTGGCTGATGGACAGGGTGATTTTGAATTAGCCTGCTGGCAACACAGACATTCATTTTTCAGAAACATATTGTTCTAAGTAATGCATTAAAAAGTTTTTCTCATGTTAAACATATCTACAAAAGAATTATTTTTATGAATGATTTCAAAACAAGACCCACAAATTCACAAAGATCCTGGAGACCTGCAGGGCATGTTTTCCTGATGAGATATTATATGACTAGAATCTCTCTGTTATTGTCTGTCAACCGAGGTGCCTCGAGAAATTGAAGAACATCAGGCCAGAGCCTAGAGTAAAGGAAAAAGGCTAGAAATGCAATAAAACAATATGTTCGTATTCTTTTTATTGATTAGTTAAGAAGAATGACTTTAAAGTGCTCAAACTGCCCTTCTACACATATAATTTTGTAACAAGATCATAGCTATCTGTACCATTTAAGCATCGGGACATAGCTTACTTAATCCTGGGATTTCAACAGATGTACCTATTTTCACTAACTTTGAAATTCAGAAAAACAATGATTTCATTCCTTTGGCTTTATTTTAGGAAGCGATCTCCCTTTTTAGATGTGACTATAGCATCCTAGTCATGTTCTAGTCCATTCCATTCTGAAATGACTGAAGTGAATCCTACTCTGAACACACTGAAAGGCAATATTGAATCTTGACTGTGGTGAAGATAAGAAGTTTGCATATTCTGACTGAAATTATTGGGAGTCTCTGAATAAGCATTCATGTGCATGTCTATGTATGTGTCAGGATGAGATCAGTCTTTTAACTAAAACAACAAAGGAAAAGTTATAAGTAAATATTAAAAAATACCTTGAAAGTAAATTGCTCATTGAAGACAGGATTAAGGGTTTTTCGGTGGACTTTTGTCTCAAATTTCTTCTTCTTATCAGGTAGCAGAAACACTTTCACATAAGGATCAGATGTACCCCCCATGTCCAAGGCGGGCAGTTCGGCAGCCTGAATGATCCCTACCAGCAGCTGAAATAAATGACAGAATGGAGCAAACTTAAATATTAGTGGAGATTTTGGAAAAGATCGATTTGTTCACAATGATGCATATTGTGATTTCTCCCACTTCTATTTATTTTTAATAAACTCTTATTCTCTTGCGAATCTGAACACAGAAGGCAAATGAAATGAACTATGTAGACTTCAGAAACCCAATTATGACAGAGGCAGCCTTTGGGAAGCCTAGTTTTAAGCAAAAAAGAGGCTTTTAAAAGGTTGCTGATTGCAGTTAAATATGGAATTCATTTTTTTGGTAAAAGAGTTGTAATCAAATAACTTTCCAGTTGCTAAAAGCCCTTGTGCATTGTTTTTCTTTCCAGGGCATGATTTGTAAGTAAAAATACATTGTTAAGCAGTCACAGGTTTGTAATTATAAAGTAGGAAATTTTATTCTTTAGCAAAGCCTCAGACCAGCTGAACAGAAATTTCTTAGAAATTGGGTGGCGTTTTGAGATAAAAAATAAGATCTTCTAGTTTCTGTTATATTTGACCTTCACTTGTGTGCTGGCTACATTTATTTTAACTTATATAGAATGATTATTACCTATGAAATTCTGTGTTTAAATATAGGACGTGGAGTGAAAGAAATGTAATTTCAGCTTCATAGACAGGAAGGGAGATTAGAGGTGAGGTTTTTTAATGGTGAGTAACTATGCTTCTTATTTTTCCCAAACACCACAGAACTATGGCTATCTACATTTCTTCAAGTCTGTTTTCTTACCAATAGTTCTTAAGCCTCATTATGAATATTAACATATTATGACATTGTTAATATTTTTGCAAAGAAAAAAAGAGGCGTGAGTAGACTATTAGAGATACTCTGCCGTTAGAGATTTTGTGTCAACAGACTGATTTAGATAAACACAGGAAACAAAGTAGACTATTATTGTTATTCAAGAGATATATGCTATTCAATAAATGCAGTCACACCACAGGTTTTTCCGTCACAGCCTGAAAATCTAAGTTTATGCCTTTTCAGCTAGCAGAGTTAAAAAGCAATTCACCTCCTTAAAAAAAAAAGGCATATCCATTTTCATTTGTGACCCACTGTATTCTTAAGTGTATTTTGGCTAGGTGGCTTGATTTTTAACATGGACCAATATCCCGAATTATTATGTTTTTTCTATTTTAATGCTTCAATGTCTTTTTTTGTGGCATCATGATACAACAGTAGCAACAAGAGTGCTAGATCATAGGTACGCAAAACACAGACAGATGGTCAAAAAAAAAAAAGCTAAAAAATAGACATCAGATTAAAAAGCTAAAATAGCTAAAAAATAGGCATCAGATTAAATAGACATGATTAGTAAAGCAAATAGTCTGTCTCTTTGTTTGCTAAATTGGTATTTGGTATTTGCCTTTATGTAGCAATGCAAATAAGCAATATTCTATTTCCTCATCCTCACTTTTTATAACCAATTTTCTTTTGAGTAGGGAAAATGACAGAGAGATGGCTTAAACTCTTTAGAAACTAGATGGTTTATAATTTAGAGATTTTTGGATATTCTGTTAAGAAAGAATGGAGTTACTTTTTCCAACCTTATTCTGACTTCTGCCTAAGAGATAAATATCACATTTATCTCTACCATAAAGCTTCTTAATGAGAATATTTTAGGATTTTTTAGTTTTGGTAAGAAAACATATATATTTGATCAAAAGTTTATGGAGCTTTTCAGACTTTATCTTCCTGCTTCTTAGGAATCACTTTATAAATCAAATTAGTTGAGAACATTTGGGAAAAATCAATGAATAGTAATTTTAAAATTCATCAGTTTCTCAGAATAAAATATCTTTTTAGATTTGATGTTTGCTGGAAAGAGAATAGTAAATGTACTGTCACTATATTTAGTAAAAAAAAGTTGTGTTATTTATTTTCTTAAAAATACTGCTTTATAAAATGATACAGTATTAATAATTAAAGTTAATGTAAAAGCTTCAAAATTATGACTAACCAGGATGAGACACCAGTAGATTTTTCATTTGAAAATATGAATGGACAATACATGATGAGAAAAATATTGGATGCACATAGAAAGTCAGATTAAATTTTTGGAAAACATGTTACGTATTAAGACCAATATAAGTTGTCCTTGATCTTTTCTAGAATATGTAAACAAGAGGTTTTGCTCCTAACCAAATCCTGATGCTCAAATTTTGGTGGAAGTTATAGACATGACCACAAATGTCATATGTAATTAACTAAAAATGGTATAACTATAAACCTGTACCTGTAAGCCAATAACATAGTTTTCTAGAATGTATTATGTAATAACTAGCCAGGCTCTAATGATGTTGATCAAAAAATTACTTTTAATATGACAGCGTATTTATATATTCTTTATAAGGAACCCTCTGGAAATTTCTGAAAGTGAAGGCATTATTTGAACTGTCAATTCCTAAATAAAGCACAGAATTTCTGCAACTGCTTAGAGCTCTCACAGCATTACTGACTTTGGACAGTCATCAAAGATGAGCATTAGTGTCTTACTATTTATTGTTCATTCCTCATCAAACTGGAAATCGATAACACATGCTGCATTGCTAGTAAGTGTATTTATTTTACATTTATCAGTTCTTCTTTGCCCAAAAAGATGAGTGAAGCAAAATGAACTGGAGAGGTTTAAAACCTTCTTAGTTGGAGAAGAGCTATGTCTTACAGATTTTTAAGAACCTGATCTCTAACTTAGCCTATTCACCTAATTTTTATCCAACTTTTACATTTCTTTAACAATTCAGAAGGTAAGGAACATTTTCATCAATGTTGTGGATCTGGGAATGTCTTCGAATTAAAGAGTTTTCTTTTTTTAGGGGGTGGGGGGTTCACAGGTTTTATTATTATTATGCTTTATAAATTGCAAAGAGTTTTCTAACAGTTATCTTTCAGCAATCTCTATTTTTTTTTGCCAACACTTAGTAAAAGGTAGCCAATATTATCATGCATCTAGGTGACATTTCACGATTTTTTGAGAAATTGAAGCAAAAATGTCTATTTTGTTACCTTCTTTAGTTTTTTTGCCATTTTTTGGGCAATATTTCTAGGCACTAGAAATCTAGTCTCTGGTCTTCCCACTCTTAGAATTGCTATCTCATTAACACTAGGAGTTTCAACTAGCATTGTATAAGGCAATCCTGTTTTTAAAATTAATGAACCAGAGTCAATTTTTCATCTCTGATTCCTTATCAAACCATTAGATGATTTTTCAAAACTTTGGCTGTAATAGTGGCCCAATTCAAAGGCCCCTAGCCCTGTCTAGTTCTAAATCTGTTAAGTCCAAGGAAGGTTGCTGCAGCTCAGGCTGAGGGAGCTGAGGCAAGGAGATTGTGGCAAGAAGCTCTCAGAAGCAGGCCGACTGCTTCAAGTTAATTTGTATTCTGTCTGCCTGTTGAAAGTGCCACAAGTAGATGTAATTGGTTGAATACTGTAAATTCTAATTACCAGATGTTAAATTAGCAAGTTGGGGACTGCCTGTTCTTAGAAATTATTTCATCAATAGCTTTGATAATTGCGTTTTCCCTCACAGCAAACAAAACATTTAAAAAAGTATCTTGCTTCAATTTCTACTTCGTAATTTCAGAAAACATAATGGAATTAGAAGACATTTCCCCACTTCAGACCTGGTTATTTTGGAAATCATAATCCAGTGAATACTGAAGTTTTCCCAGTTTCTCCTCTTCTTTGGGTTCTTCTTTTTCTTCTCCATCAGTCAACCCAGTTTCAGCGTCATCATCCTTGAGGGCCTATGTGTAGAGAAGTGGATCACATGTAAATTCCACTAAATTTCATCAAAACTCAAATTTAACTGGGCCTGTAGTTATACTTCCAAGCTGTTCGAAGCAAGCAGTAAGATGCTGGAATTCTGTTTGTCTGGCACACATTCACATTTGCTGCTTACATATTTTTTAAATTCCATTTGTGCACGGAATTTTTTCCCCCAATCAGCAAGCAAAATGGAAGCGATGGAAGAAGCCCCTCAGAATATTGCAAGCAAAAAATGTAACATTGTTGCAAAGAAAGTGTCAACTTGGTGTTGTATTTGGTTCTGATAAAACCTCTGCTTTCCGAGGAAAGATAAACATGCTACTAACCAGGCCAGATTTCACATTCATGTAGTTTAAAGAGATGCTCAGCATCATATAAAATATCAGCGCTACATGCAGTGGAATAATTAATATAAAAGGCATGTCCTTTTGTTGACTTATTTCCTATGATAAAGATAGTTCAGTAAGTGATCCTCAGAAAATTTAAATTCCCTTTGTTTCACGTATACATTTATAATGGTGTGAAAAAGAGGAAAAAAACATGCCACCAGCAAATCCATGTTTCGAGGAAAGTTCACCCCACTTCCAGTTTCAGTTTACCACTTTATTTTCATAACAGCTCCACCAAAAGCTGGGCTGAATTAAATTGACTTAAGAGTCTATTTGATATCAAAAGATAAAAAGAGGTTTGTAATTTTGTCAAAAACAAATTGGTATAAAAATTCATTTTGCATTTAAGAACAAAATCAGTTGTATTGAACTCTCAAAACTCAGTCTAACCAATTGAATATTTATAACCTAAAATGTAAGTGTACTGTAAATGGAAATACTAGAAAGCTCATTATCTCATAAGTTACATTCAAATGCTCTTCTTTTTTTAAAAAATCAAAATATATGATGTATTTTCCTATCTTGCAAAAATTTTTCTAAAAATATCAAAGGTTACAAAGATTATAAGTACATGAAGCTTTGTTTATAGGGATGTGCAATTCTTATTGCTTCAAGTAATTAGAACAATTAATTAGAAATTTACACACAATCATTATTCAAAATAAAAAATAATACAAAATCACATTATCCTGACCACTTGTGAGGTTGAAAAGATTAAAAACTTTTATATTAACCATTTGTATTTTTTATTCTGGGGACTGCCTGTCCATATCCTTCACTAATTTGTCTATGTGTTGTTCACCTTTTACTTATCGATTTACAAGGGCTTTTTGTATTTTAAAAATTTCAGCTTTGTTGTTGTGTTCCATATAACAATTATTATCTTCTAGTTTTATGGTTTAGCATTTTATTGCTGTTTTTGTATATGTATACACACAGGTGTATTACTGTAGAATCTCACAGAAATCAAAGTGGACATAACAGTGGTGGACTGTTTTGTATCTCTGACAAAGTAAAGGAATCTTAACTCTTGTTAGCTCTCAAATTGAATCTAAGAATTCTCATAGAATTCAAATGTAAGAAGTATAACCAGGCTGTAGAGAGGCATCAGTCAGACTGCAGTTCCTTCACTCTGCTACCCTCACATCCAAGACTACATAGTTGATTTTCTCTGCTGTATTCATCATTCTCAGGAAGGAGATTCTCTGTTCAATCCACCCACTTACTTAGGGACCTTCAGTGGTGCTTCAAATGGCACCCTCAGTCCTTGAATTTACAGGATTTTCTAATTTGGCGTCACCCAGTTAACTCTAATTTGATTCTAAAAAACTGAGTTCTATTAATCTGTATTACAGATTAGTAGAACTCATTCAGGTGGAAAGATCATATAAATAGAATTGAGCTCTTGTCAGAGATACCTCCTCTTTTTTGGCTGGAAATTTCTTAAGAGCCTACAGTGAGTTTGGAAAATTGAAAATTGCCGTCATGATATACATCTGTGTAGAAACATTTTCCAATCTGGTTAGCTACAAACCATTTCATTTGGAAAGTTTAATCTACACTTGGTTGTTTCTTTGAATATAAAATGTTGACTTACTAATAGCTAAAGGCAGGAAACAACATGAAAATATTTTAAAGTTTATATTAATTGTTTAACTTGTGCACAAGGGGCTTGGTCACTAAAGGGAACGTATGATAGTAAAGTGACAAAAAAAAAAAGACTGAGTTTAATTAGAGAATTTTAGGTAGTGGAATCCCTTTGCCCTTTCAAAACCTTAGCTGTGTATAAGTCTTTAACACTGCCGTAGTTGTGCTTAGGAAATTGCAGCTTAGGTAATTTGCCTCCCTATAAGATTTTGTTTTTTAAAAATAATAGCAAACTATTTAACACATATTTCTGTTTGATAAATCTGCATGTCACTCTATCATTATAATAAAACAATTCATTGATTAAAATACCTTTTCAAAAATCTCTTTCAGAACTGACAATTCATGTATCATGTTTCAGGCCCAGTGCAATTTGAAATAGCTGAGATATTGAATCCCCTTCTCCCTAAGTGGTTTTTGCCTGAATAGAAGGCAGGACCATCTCTACAATTATTCTGCATGAAACAGGGCTAAATTTTTGATAATTTCTCACTGCCACTGTTCATCACTGAAGTGATTAAGTCTATTCCTGTCCCAAAGGCTGAGCTTAAGCAAGACATTATCTGTACCATCACATTAAATTCAGGCCTATTGTATCAGTAGCTATTATAACATCTCAAGAGTACTATTTTCCCCTCCATGGAACAAAATTTGGAAGAAAAAGCTGGTAAATCCAGTAGTTCTGAGGTTTGATAAATTTCAGTAGAAAAAGCTGGATTGGGAACATCAGACCTCATTTTAAAGTTCAAAGATTAGTGCACATGCTTATGGTTTGCTTTGACATTCAACAGGTGCTTTGTTTGCAACCATCAGAAGGAGCATTTGTTCATTGTAAGTTACATTGTTCAAATTTGGATTTAATAAGGCACACTAGAAAAGCAGCACAAGGGACTGAATTTCTTTCAGTATCCATCAACTTAAAACTTGAGCTTTCTAATACTGTTATATTTAATCCGTTAGCATGCTCAAAACGAGAACACTTTATCTTAAAAAAAAATCAATTTAGTTCAGCCTCTTGATGTGTGTCAGAATGATATACCCTCAGCTGTGGAGCCCCAGGTGCCAAGGCCACTAAATGTATCTGAGCGTTGACTAGGGATGTCTAAGTAGCAGAGGAAACCTACCGCAAGGGACAGTCCAGAACAGTCATGAGACACAACACAGATAAGGACATAGAAGGAAGAAATAAAAATTAAAATATCCACACACATTAGTGAAAACCATGGAGAAATGACCTTTCCAGACCTATGAATTTACAAGTGAATATTTTCCCTCTGTCTGGTTAGTGTTCTCCAATTTTAACGCATATGAAAGAACACAAAAATATATATCTTATGCAACATAAAGTATCTATACTTTTTGTAGTCATTGCAGAATATTTAAAAAATCTTCTTGGTTAAAAAACCTTCCTAAAGAGACGTGTAGCCATGAATATTGAAATCTGAATTTCTGTGAGTTTGATATGAACTGAAAGATAAAAAAAGTATTCATTGTCCTACAGCCTTTATATCTTGTATATAGAGCCTATATATATATATATATATATATATATATTTCTTAAGATTAAGAAATTATATCTAAAATGTCCATCACATATGCCTTGTTTTTAAATGAGAGAGGCATAAGCCATCTTTACTTTCTTCCCCATGTTCACTTCAACATTCTGCTTAAGATGTTTTGAAAATATAATTATTTAATAATAATTTTAATTTGTATTTACACTGTTTCTAATTTTGGGTGATCTGGTGATCATCATGTGATTAAACATCCTCTTAAAATCTGCACATTCTGTTTTGCTTTTTTATCCTTCCTCTTCATAAAATGATGGAGCCCATTATTAGCTACTTTTGTCTGCTTCAAAAAGTATCATAAGCTATGGTTATATAAATGTTTATCACTGGAGTGTATATTCATCTGTCCAAATTGTATCTTATTCTGTGCATTTAATTGTTCATAACAGTAAAATTGAGACTACTTAAAATGACTGAAAACATCTTGAGTGGCTGAAATTCTAAATAATTTGTGATAACAGATTATTATAAACTATCTCTGACTTGTTAGTATTTCTTTGTTTGAATCATTTTCTCTGTCCCTCCCCACCCAAAAAATAGATCATCAATGAAAAATTAACCCCCATTAGTTCTCTATATTTGAGATCTTGGTCATTTATCCAGGTCATAACAGAAGTAATAAACACCACCACTATGCTGTCAATTACAATCTTACATTGTACAGAACAAATCCCACAAATATTATAGATTTATTGTCCTAGGAAGAAATGCTATAGTTATCACTTTACATTATTCAGTAATTTTAACTAATTCTAGAACACAAGGGAAACCACATTCAAATTTTATGATAATTATGAAAAAGATAGTAATCTATTGTCAAATTATTGTTTTCACAATATTGCTAAAATTAACATACATATTATTCAGTCCATGTCCATCTAGTAGTTATTTCCATACTTACTTCTCCCAATAAGTTGTTTAAAGAAATCTTTATCAAGTCCTGCTTACTATGAAAAGTTTGGAAATAAAGTAAGACAGGATTTAAAATTTTAGTTTCTATTTTAATTAACTGAAAAGAAAAATCTTTATTAGACATCTGTAGTTGGATATTTGTGCATGGGCTTTATGACTGTGATAAGAAATTGCCAGAAAAATCAAACGCTTGCTACTCCAAGCTCAGGCCAAAACTCTCATGAGCGTGAGTACAGGCATTCCATCCATTCCATAGCTCCAAAAACCAAACACAAATGCAGGGAGTAAAAAATGAGCCTTTGTGAAATTATTACCAATAGATACTATAGTGTCTTTGAGGAAAGAGTTTAAAACTTAAGCTGGGAAGGGAAGTTAGTGTCCTGAATGTGTTATGAACTAGGAAACAATGCAAATGTATTTAAAATGCCTGTTGTAACACCTGATTAAATTGTTCTTAAGGAGATTCAGGTTTAAGAGTTAGATTAATAATAATACTATAAGAGGAACTTACAAAACTGCCTATGTATTTTTCTATTCGGGAATAAATAAAACTTTTGTATTTGATGAAAACAATTGATAATTGAAAATGTTATTTCTATGAAAAATTTGTACATTTGCATTTTAATTTTAAAATATGAATTAAATATTCTTTAGAAATATTCAGTATGAATATTATTTCAAAAATGAAGAGGTGTTTAATAATTATCATTAGTAATAGTAAACGTTATCTTGAACCAAGTTGTCCAATTAATTTAGCCAAAAACAGACAGCAACATGAAATACATCCAAATAGCTTTCTTGGGCTTGGAAAGATAACCCAGCCAAATGGATTTAATAACAAAGTGTTATGGTTTTAATTGTCCTTATTAAATTGAAATAAGAATTTTGTCTTATAAGAAATAAGAAAGAAAACTTTCTTATAAGGGAAAAATTCTGTACTGTCTTGATATTTAGAACTGGCTCATATTTCTCTCCCTTCTGCCATACAACTCATTATTCTTGAGAACTAATTTTTCAGCTGGATGGATATGTAGGAAAGGCTGCCTTCATCAAGTTTGATGAACAGCTGTGAAACTCAGTTATTTAACAGTGACTGTGAACAGTAGAAATTAGAAAGATCCCCTGCCCAGTTGCAAAAACACTCAGGCACTCTTTGATTTCTCTAACTCTAAACAGAATGAAGACTGGTTAAACAGATGTAATCAAAATATTCAGGCATCATTCTCTATGCCAAATGCATCAAGATGAGCCTGATGATCATGGATGCCCTTTTCTGTTCCATTTGCTCAGGAGATTGGAAAACCCTTCCAAATGCCTCCACGATGCTTTGGGATCTAGAACAGTGACTGAAAGCCTTGCAAAGCATCTCACAATGATATGGGTCCAGAAGTTGTTTATTTCTATAATATATAGCATAAAATAATAAACCATTTGTTTATTTTTTTCTAAAAAAAAATAATCTAAGAAGCAATGTAGAAGAAATACATTACCTGATCTTTCATTGTCTTCCCTAAGTCTTTCACATCTTTCATGTTAATGGCATTCTTCCCTCCTTTTTCCTTTCCCTTCTTCTTGTTTTTCTTTTTGAACAAACATTTCTTACAGATACAAAAGCAGCAGGTCAGGACTAGAAGGACTGCGACTATGGCTATTGCGATTAAGGCCCACGGTGGCACTGAAAGAAAGAAATGCACAGAGAGCACTGGTCACACAACACTTAGATGTGCGAAAGCTTTTAACTCATGGGCTATAAAGATATTCATTTTATTTGCATTTTTGAGCACCCATTAGGCTCGAGGTACACCATTCCTCAGTACTTTATCCATGTTGTTTTCTCCACTGAGTGTATTGCTTCCTTTCTTTCCCACTTTGCCCTTCCAGATATGTCAAATATCATCTCCTCCTTATTGCTTTTCTTGACTCTCCAAGCTAGGTTTCTATGAATGCATCTCGTCACCCATTTAGACCCAAGCTTTGGAGTTCAACCACTGAGTTTAAATCCTGGCTCCACGATTTACTAGCTGTGTGATCATGGGCAAGTCATCTAACCTCTCTCTGCCTCACTTTCCTCATCTCTAAAGTGGAAGTAAACTGGTAGGTGCCCTATAGATCTTTCTGAGTATTAAATAACAAGATGCAGTGCCTGGTACATGGCAAAAGCTTAATAAATAGTAGCTGCTATTACTCATCTATAAAATACTAGGTGTTTTATTCCTACGTTCTGGCATGGCGGGGGGCAGATATTAGTCATATACATAGAACAGCAAATGTAAAGCCGTAACAATAGTGAAGATTCGGAAGAAGTACCTGGTGATTTGAAAGTCAGTCATGTGGAAATGTATGCACTGAGGGTTCTCTAGATGTGGGTGACGGTCATGTGTTCGGTGACTCTTAATCGAGGTTTAGATTTTGGCATGGCCACTTAGAGGCTCTGTGACTCTGCTCAGGTTGCTTCACTGTTCTGAGTTTCTGTTTCACCTTTATACAGTGAAGATTATAGTGGTACCCATTTCATCTGGCTTGAAGATTAAGGGGATTAATATGCTAAAAAGCTTTGAATGCATCTGGAACATAGCAAGAGCTCAATTAATGTTAGCTAGCATTTCTTTCTTTCTTCCCTCCCTTCCTTCCCTTCCTTCCTTCCTTCTTCCTTCCTTCCTTACATCTTTTTTTT